CTCCCCAGTTCAGCACTTCCTCCCTCCACCCCTAACCCCCAAGGAGTTGCATTTTCCAGGATGAGTGTTGAATTCAAATCAAGGAGCATTTATTAGGCACCTGCTGTTTACTGGCCTTGGGTTGAGTATCAAAGATTCTATGGTTTTCTGCTCAGAATCCTCCAGTGCTTATTCCTCAAGTATGGAATGAAATAGAGATGACAAAAAAAACCAACAAAAAACAGTGCTCCATGCCCTCTGACCCCTGCAGACCTAGAAGCTTCACCTCAGGCTGCTCTGAGTTTTTTCTACCTCAGGGCCTTTGCACATCTGTCTGCTCTCCTTGATGGCCCTTGGAAATCCTGCCTTCTCTATACTGAAGTCTCCTCGGATAACCTCTTCTGCAAGCACCTCAGGCAGTCTCAGGCACGCACAGCCTCAGAGCCTGCCTGTGTCTTTGCTGGGAAGCCCTGCAGGGCGAGGTTAGTGCAGGTCCTCCTGCCGCTTGATAAGGCCTCCTTGGATGACGGGGTGAAAGGGATGGCCTGGAAGTCAGCCTGGGCCTGGGGGTGAAGGTGAAGCCTTTCAGGTTGGAGCTGGGTAAGGGGGACCCTCAGGCTCCCTCCTTCCCCTCCTCCTAAATTGGCCCCACCCCCCAGCAGAAATCAATTACCAGGACGGTTTGGATTACACTAGGCCCCAGTTTTGCAGCAGACAAAAGAGCTTTGGAGTTTGTTTATTCTGGCTGTCCCTCACCACAACGCAGATTTTTACCCCCGTCCTAGCGACTGAACCAGGGCCCATTCACACTGAGCTATATTGAGCTACATACCTGGTCCTTTTTTATTTTTTATTTTAAGATGGAGTCTTGCTTGTGATACTCCTGTCGCAGCCTCCCAGGATTCTGGGATTATAGGCATGCACCACCACGTCTGACTTCCATGTTCTCATTTATAAAGTGAAGTAGATCAGTATAAATAAAATACATGTGCACGTAACGCTTATACTTTTTGCCCCAATGTGGGGTCATGACCAGTCATTTGAGCAACACTTGACCGGACACCCAGTAACCCTTGCAGCTCACCAGGGCTGTGGGCTGTGGGCATCCATATCTCTGTTCCATCCTAGCCCCCTGATCATCACAGGCCTGCAACCCATACACTCACAGAAGGAGGCTGGGGCCACGCGTCGTGGTACGCCTGCCATCCCAGCTTTCCGGGACGCTGAGGCAGGAGGGTAATTTAGTAACTTAGTGGGACCCTGTCTCTAAATAAAAAGGGTTGAGGATATAGCTTAGTGCAAAGGCCCGGGGTTCGGTCAGTAACACACGCACACACACAGAGGAGAAGGTGGGGAGCCCAGCATAGGCCCAGACTCCTCCAGGCCTGCACCTGGCTTCCGTAGAGTAAGGAGCCTCCCCAAATCCTGGGCAGCAGAAGTGGGTGTGGCGGGGCCTGGAAGGGAGACTTCTGTTTCTTTTCATAGCAGCACCCTGTTGTCCCCTGTCCCTCCTCCCAGTGCCCACCATGAGTGCCATCCGTCATAAGCCATTTGTTCCTAATTGTGGAGATCCTGCTAATGACTTCGCAGCAGGCTGGGGAGGGGAGTGTGGCTTCATTAAGGAGACCAAGTTCCTGGGCTGAGGGGCGCAGCTGGAAGGGGACTTGTTCACAGGGCCCTCTGGGTAGAGCCAGGCTGCCTGGTGACACACCGTGATAGTGACAGCGGTGATCTTCGCGCGGGGCCTGAGGGTACTGGGGAGTTGGCCGGGGCTGTCCGTTTCTGCAGGGAGGAGATGCAGCGGATATGCTTTCCCATGGTCAGTCAGCATGCGGCGGAGTCAGCACTCAGGCCCAGCTCTGGCCGGGGTTGCGCAGACTGGACAGCCCCAGCTGCCCGCCAGGAGGGCAGGGCCTTTTCCCAAGCTACAGACTGGGCATCGGTTTTCAGTCCAGGCCGTGGAAGCAGGACAGTGAGGTTTAAAGGCCGAGTGGCTCCTAGTTTCCACTCCATCCTCTCTTCCTTCCCTCTGCAAGCTGTCCCCAAAGGCTTTCCCCCAAGGCCTATCAACTGAGGGAAGCGGGCGCCATGGCCTTATGGACCCTACATGAGGCTGGGGGCCGTCTCGGGAGATAAGGACAAACTGGCAGATCGAGGGTCTGATTCTTACCCCTGCCCAGCTCAGTGTTGTGAAGCTGGAGTTAAATGCTTGTTCAAGTGCTTTGAAAACTAAAGCATGCCAGGTGTGGTGGTGCACACCTGTGATCTCTGCACGCAGGAGGCTAAGGAAGATCATGGAAAGTTTGAGGCCAGCCTGGGCTGCATAGCAAGCCTGTCTCAAAGAAAAGAAAAGAAAATAGAAACCAAAAAAGGAAAACCGAAAAGCACAGAATGAATGTTCACTCCCGCTGAGGGGGCCTGTTGTGCCGCTTCCCATGCTCAGCTGGACAGAAGTGGATTTTCCAAGGACCTGAGTTGGGTCTGCTGAGCCGTGGGTGAGTGGGGACTCACAGCTACTTTTCAGAAGTCCGTGGGTTTTTTTTATGGTACCGGGGATCGAACTCAGGTCCTTGTGCTTTCATAGCAGGCAGCGAAACCACTGAGCTAAATCCCCAGCCCAAGAAGTCTGTGTTTTGAAGGAGGCTCCAATCTCCTTGGCATTGGCCAGGGAAGGGCTGGCTCTGGCTCTGCTGTGCAAGGATAGAGCCTGCTCTCCAGCATGCTGGGCAGTGGGCAGCTCTGTGATTTTTCAGACCCCAGCATCAGCAGACAGCGTAGACACTGACACTTGGTGCATTAGTGTGATGGATCAGCTCAGACAGGGCTACAGGAAGCCCGAGGGAGGCCCGCCTGGCGCCGGGCGACACACTGGAGGAGGCACCCTAGGCCACAGGGACCCTGGGCTCCCAGCACTGTGCTGGGCTGGGGTTGATGTGGAGCCCAGGATCTGCCCGTCCACCCGCAGTTACAGCACAGCTTGAGCCTCAGGTGGCACTTGGTCAGGGCTGGGCAGCGGGCAGATGGCCGGGATCACCTTCCAGCTTCCAGGCCCCTCCTGCCGCTGCCACTGCCCCTCCGGGAAGCTCACTGGGACCTCCCCGCAGCGAGGACACAGCCACGCTCTGCCCCCCGCAGTCCCACTGTTCCTGCATCGTGGCACCCGGCAGGTCCCTGCACACAGCAGGCTTGTCACAAATGTGCACTGGGAAGGAGAGGCTATCGTGGGTGGTCGGGGGAGGGCCCCAGGCAGATAGTGCAGGAGGACGGGAGGGAGCTGGGGGCCACAGAGCGCCTGTCGCTGCCGCCATCTTCTCACAGTGAGACTGCAAGGCCCTGTCGTTCTCCCTGTAAATCTTGTAATTTCATGCTCCAGGGGACCGAAAAGTAAGAGAATGTAGCCCCTGGCCACCCATGCCCCAGCCTCCTGGGACCTTGTCCCTTCTGCCCACCAGGATCCAGGGTCCTTCATCTGCCAGTGTCCCTCTTGGGTGTCCTTGAGCCATGCTCTCCCCACCTCTGCCTCACCCCCTGGGCTCTGACCGACCCTGTGCCCCTCCGCACTGTCTTCATCTTCCAAGGCCGAACATTTGTCCTTAGACCTGGGAGAGGTCAGGAAAAGCCATGCCATGGAGGCCACGCTCCTTCCTGTGCACACCGGCCTCCGCCCACAGCCTCTCCAAGCCCTTAGACTCAGAAAGGTTGGCTTCCTGCTTTCCCAAGTGACCCCTGAGGACAGAAGCACCTGCCTCCCTTTGGGAGCCCAGGACTCGTCCTTGGGTGGGGACCTGGAGGGCAGGCGGGGGCCTTGGGTCTCCAGACCCCACCTGGAAGGCTTCTGCCCTGCAGGTGATGGTGGTGAGGTCACGTGAGGGTGGGGACAGACGCAGGAGGAGCCGGGGGTAGCAGATGGTCACCCAGGCCGTGTGGGAGAAGAGGCACTGCCTTGAACCCCCAGTTTTAGGGGTGAGGACAGTGCAGAGAGACGGTGACCTGCCCAGGGTCACAACTGGGAGGCCGCACACAGGGACCCCAGCCTGGGCCGGCCTCGTGCCAGGCCCTGTGTGGGGCTCCCTGGGGGTCTTGGAGGACCCCGGAGGCACAGGGTGTTACAGTCTCACTGCTCGCCACCCAGCACCCACACCCGATCAGAACCCTGTGGCTCAGAGCCCCGTCCCCAGCTCCACAGCCCCCAGCTCCACAGCCCCGAATCTCTGAAGATCTATCAGAATGAGCCCCAGGTCTTGACCTGCTTTTCCAGCCTGGTTCTCCCGGTGTCAGGAGCCTTGAATCCACACTCCCAGAGCTCAGAAAGCCAGGTGCTGCTCAGACCCTGAGGTCCCCTGTCGCCCCCTCCTGGGTGCTCCCCTCCCACACTGACTCTCCCCAAAGTGAGGCACACGGGCCTGGGAGCCAGGCTTCCTGCGCTCAAATCCTCGCTGTCGATCCTGGGCAAGTAACTAAACCAGAGGCTCGGTTTATTCATCTGTAAAATGGGACCGCTAAATCCCTACCTCATGGCCATTAGGGAAGATTGAGATCTTGCCTGTTAAGTGCCTGACACATAGATGCTCACTTAAAAAGTACTCTTTTCCTCTGAATACTGAGGATTGAGCCCCAGGGCCTTTACACTGAGCTACATCATTAACCCCTTTTTAAAAATTTTATTTTGAGACAGGGTCTTGCTAAGTTCCCAGAGTTGGAACTTGCAGTCTCCCTGCCTCAGCCTCCCAGAGTGCTAGGATTACAGGTGTGATTAGTGCCCTGCACTCTCTGAAATCCTCTTTGACCCTCGGCCCTCCCATTTGCTGTTCCCACGGTGCCTAAGGGAATCGCTAGCCCAAGGGCACATCCCTAGGCAGTGAGCCCATAGTGACAGTGAGTGACTCCTACCTCAGTCCTTACCCCAGCCCAAGACCTTCCTTCTTCCTCTGCACTCCTCCCTCTTGCTGCCCAAACTCTCCATGCCCGCCAGCCCAGGGCTGTTGCTGGGACTGCTTACTGACTCAGTCCCTGTCTTCCAGGCTCTCCAGGTGGCCCGCCAGTTCCTGCTGCAGCAGGCCTCAGGCCTGAGCTCCCCGGGGAACAATGACAGCAAGCAGGCCGCCTCTGCAGTGCAGGTGAGGGACGGCAGGGCCGGGGTGGCTGGCCCGGAGGGAGGTCGGGGACCCCAGAGGGAAGCCCTCTGCTGCTCCCAAAAAGCGGGCGTCTATCCAGCAGGAAGCGCAGGCGCTGCGGCAGGGTGCGGCCAGAAACTTCCACTTTCTCTTGTCTCCCCATCTGCCAGGCCCGCTCCGGCTCCGCCTCCGTCTCCGTCTCTGTCACTCAAATGGCCGGGCATCTGTCTGCCACTCTGTCTCCTACCTGTCAGGGTCTTTCTCGGTCATTTCTCAGGTTTCTGCGCCTCCTCCCTGTGGGTCACTGTGTCATCGTCCCTCTGTTCCCAGGGCCTGGGAGGGGCGCCTGCTGCCTGCGCTACAAGGTCCCGGGCCCTCCCCTCCCCTCCCCCACCCCCCACGACTCTCGCTGGTCTCGAGTCTCTCCTGGTTTCCTGTCTCTGAGTGTCTCTAGGTCTCTTTTGTTTTCCTTCGCACAATCTGCCCTTTTTCCCCTCTTCCCTTCCCCCAGCTCCCTGCCCATCTGGCCAGGCCAGGGGAGGGGGGTCGGTGGGAGGTGGAGGAGCCGGGCCTTCTGTTTACCTTTTGTGTCACAAAGAACTTGGGAGAATTGCAGTCTGAGTCCTGCCTGGGTCACAACTGGGGCAGCAGCGCCCCCTCCCCCCTCCCCCCTCCCGCCAGCCGGCAGCCCCTCCCCCAGCAGCAGGGGTGGCTGGGGATAGGGAGAGGATTAAGGGGGCTTTGAAAGGAAGTTTATCTAAGGGAGGAAGAGTGAGGGACAGAGCTGATCCCAGCCTGAGCCGGCCTGCTGTGGAGTCTGGGGGCTCTGGGGGCTGGGAAGGGGGCAGGGAAGCAGGGGGCTGGGAGGGACCGGGGTGGGGTTCTCCTGGGGAGATTCCAGCGCTCCGACAGAGTATCTGGGCTTTATAAAAACACGCACATGTTTGGAAAGTGCTTTGAAACGGTGCAAGGTGCTGGGCAGCTGTGGGGCCCCAGCAGTCAGTAGCCTTTGAGCAACCTGGGGCCCAGGGAGGCCCCAAAGGGGGAGCTGGCAAAGAGGGGCGTGGCCGGCAGCAGGGAGCACCGGAGGGAGGGGGAGCCCTGCCCAGGGCGGCAGGACTGGGCCTCTGAGTGGGGGCCCATGTCGCACACACAGGGGTGCTGGGCTGCAGGCAGGGGTGTCCCCGACCCAGGGCCAGAGAGAAGGAGCGCCCAGTGCTTTGGGGCCCAGAGCAGGCGTCAGGAAAGACGTCCCGGCTGGGCCTGAGGAAGGGAGGCCCCTCCAGAGTGAGAGCGGTCTCGGGCCTGGAGGGAGAAAGACAGAAGTGGCCCTTGTACCGTCCTCCCTCTCTCCTTCCTTCCTGACCTCCCTGTCATCCTCGAGTCCCGACAGCAGATACGGAGCTCTTCCTGAGCCACGGCTGACGTTGCAGACAGCTCACCATGCGGCAGCCACGGGCAGCCACAGGCAGGCCATTCTGTCCTGCGTCCCACGGACAGGCGTGGAAGCTGGGGTTAAATGAGTCACCCCCTGGCAGAGACCAGACTAGAAGCCAAACAAGTCGCTTCAGAATCACTCCCGGCCAGCGCGGCAATCGAGCAGGCTGCCTCGTGCCTGGCGTCCCTGGAGCCTGGGGTTTGGCTGTTGGCCGCTTTCTCCTCCAGCCTCGTGTCCCTTCAGGCCTCCCACTCCCACCAGAGCTCCGAGTCTCCAAGGAGGTGGGGTCTGTGCCCAAGCTGGGCCCAGCTTTGTGGTGAGCTCCAGGCTGTCAGCGGGAGAGGAGAGGAGAGGAGAGGAGGGCTGGGCTGGCCAGAGCCTCAGTGGAGCAAGGCAGGGAGGCTCATGGGATCGCCTGGCACGCAGCTCTGTGGCAGGAGGCAGTGCAGACAGCTGGGCCAGGCCCGGTGCTTCTGCCTGCTCCCCAGAGTCCTGCTGCCCCACCACTCCTCTTTCCTGCTCTGGGTGGCACTGTCCCTGCCACTGTCCCCGTGGGGATCCTGGGCCTGGCCCCTGGAGCCCACTCGGACACAGCCCAGCCTGTCAGGGTCCACAGGAAGGCCAGGAGGGTCACCTTGGGACACATGCACATGGGATGGGGGTGTGGATCCCAGCCACCGGGCAGGAATCTCAGGGCCGGAGAGGCCACAAGGCCGTCTCCATCCTCCTGCCTCCAAGTAGGAAAGGCTGTGTCCTTCCCTGCTGGCCACTGTCCATGTTGGGTGTGGGCTCAGCCATCCCGCTAGCCTGTGCTCTGGTCCCAAGTGACCCTGGCCATGCCATGCCCTTCGCTCGCCCCCTCCTCTTGTGCTTTCAGGGGTGGGGCATGCACAGGAAGCTGGGAGAGCCAGTGTGTCCAAGATCCCAGTAGGCAGATGGGGAAACAGGCCTGGTGATTTCAAAGACACCCCTGGCCATCACTACCGAAATAACCCGCCTTGCTGGGTGCTCCCACGGGAGGAGGGTGGCAGGATAGTTAGGCTCAGCAATGGGGGCTCCTAGCCAGGGTTCTCCCTAACCCATGTCCCCTGCACAGCCACCCCAGCTGCCACCCCAGGAGCCACGGGCCTCAGGGTCCCTGGGAGCCTTCATGCTTGAGGCATTTCCACACCTAGAAAGCTCAGCCACTACCCCTCCCTCCAGGTGACAGTGGCACAGAGACCGCTGCGGGGCGGGCAGAGCCAGTTCTGGGGTGTCAAGCAGACCTGGGTGCCCTGGGACTTCCCCATGCGCCTGGTCCTCCTGCTTCCTCCCATCCTGGGGATTTCCTAATCCAAGGCTTACAGCCCTCCCCTCCTGGGTAAGTCCTGCCCCATGGGGACCTAACCTGTTCCTGCCCCGACAAGTCCCTGCAGGACACCCCTCCCTGGCATGGGGGCTCTGCTCGCTGGGGAAGGCGGCAGCAGCGAGGTCAGCTAAGGCTCAGTGCCTGCTGTGCACCCAGCCCTCTGCAGAGCATGGAGTGAGGGGGAAGCCTGGGCCCCACGGGGTGCAGGGGAGGCAGACAGCTCCATGGGGCACCTGTCCTGCCGTGGCACAGCTTGGCCCTGCCTGGTGGGCACTGCAAAGGCCTCAGAGAGTTGGGGAAGGTGGGGCTGGGAAAGACAGATGCTGCTACTTTTCACAGAGCCTTTGTCTGGTAGCTGGACCCTCTGGGCATTCCAGAGCAGCCTGGCCCAAGAGAGCCAGGTAGAGAGCAGCTCCACTTTGAGAATCCCAGATGCTCCAGCTAAGAGGCATCTCTCGTGATCCAACCCCACGCTTTATGTTTGAGGAAACTGACAGCCCAGAGAAGCCAAGTGACTTGCTCACAGTTGCACAGCAAGTTGTGTGTAGAGCTAGGAGGAAAAGCCTGCTGTCCTAACTCCCTGCCGACTGTCCCTCCCACCCCACTGAAGACACAGCAGCGTTTCCATGCACTCACCAAGATGATGCCTGCGGGGCTCCCAGGCCTGGGGTATGAGCCACTGTGTGCACCAGACACCAGGGCTGGACTCCAGGTCCCCATGTGAGGAGGGCCACTTTTCAGTCCTTCCTGTAGCTGCAGACGCCTTTGGCCAGCAGTCTCAGATGGAGCATAGAGCACTCCCCCTCCTCTTTACTGCAGGAGACCCCTCCATCCCTGGGTTCCACCAGCCCTGTCACTCGGGTCTCATCTTCCCACTGCAAGAACTGCATGCTACAATGACAGCCAACCTTATAAGCACTCCTTGCTGCTGGGCTCTGTCCTACTGTTAGCTTCTCAGTCCTCACTGGACCTTTCAGGGCAGGCACCATCGCTGTTCCCATTGATTGATTGATGTGGGTCTCACTGTGTAGTTCAGGCTGGCCTCAGACTTGTGGTGATCCTCCTGCCTCGGCCTCCCAACTGCTGGGATTACAGGCATGCACCACCACACCCAGTTGCTCTTCTGAGTTAGAGACAAGAAAAACAGAATAGGGATCCATCCCTTGTCTAGAAAGACACACTTAGAGCCTCGCTGCCACACTGTGGGTGGCCCGGGCACTGCCCCTCGCTAACAGAGCAAACCCCTCAGGTGCCCGTGTCCGTGGCCATGATGTCGCCGCAGATGCTCACCCCGCAGCAGATGCAGCAGATCCTGTCACCGCCCCAGCTCCAGGCACTGCTCCAGCAGCAGCAGGCTCTCATGCTGCAGCAGGTGGGTCTGGCCCCCGGCAGTGGCGTCCCCACCTCCCTCCCTGTTTACCACAGGGCTGTGGCAGAAACCAGCGAGGCTGCTCAGGCCCGGCCGATCTGCATTCCTCCAGGGCTGCTGAGAGGCCAAAGGTCCAGCTCAGCAGCCGCCAGCCCCCACACTCCCCCAGGCAGGCCCCACTTCCATCTCTGGAACTCCAGGGTAGGGCAAAGTACTGGGACATCTGACCCCGTGCCTGGGACCCAGGCAGGTGTGCCCCTGAGAGGCAGGGAGGGTCAGGGCTGTGGGGCGCTCTCCCCTCCTTCCTGTCCACCCCCAGGTCCTGCTCAGGCTGACGGGGCCCCCCCGGCCGGACACAGAAGGAGTTGCAGTCGGCAGCCCCCACCGGCTAACTGTCCTCCACCTTGTCCCCCACAGCTTCAGGAATATTACAAGAAACAACAAGAGCAGCTTCACCTGCAGCTCCTCACCCAGCAGCAGGCTGGGAAACAGCAGCCCAAAGAGGTGAGAGGCTGCAGAGGCCTGGCCCAAGGCGCCAGATGGCCCCGGGGACCCCCATCCCAACACCTGCCTCGCCAGCCCTGCCCTGGCCAGGGGCCGGCGGTCTGGAAGTGCTCAGGGCAGAACTGCCCTGTGGGGATAGAAAAGAACTGGATGGAGCTGTGCGCTGGGGTCACAGGGACTGTGGAGCGTTCCTTCTCCCCTTGCCCCCATGTGCACATCCTTGGTATGGGGGAGGCTCGTCCAGCTGCCTTGTGGTTGTGACGTCCTCCTGCCTGCATGGCTCTCAGGGACCCAGCCCCTCAGCCCTGCGTCCCCAGGTGCACCTCCCCTGCCCCATCCCCCATATCACAGCCCCGTGCCTCCCTCCTGCTGGCCAAACCAAAGCCCCTGTTCTAAGTGCCTCTTCCCAGAGGCTGCCCGAGGACATCCAGGCATTCTAACCCAGCCCTTCAGTCCTCTGCTTTCTGCATTGAGTAGCCAGCAACCCCCACCACCGCCGCCTGCCACCTCCTGCAGGCGGTAGATAGGCTCCATTCCTGGGCTTAGAAACCCTGCTGACAGCCAGCTTGTCAGTGCCTGAGTGAAGAAGTGAGAGGCGGGCGGGAGGCGAGGCATGGTGCTGCCTAGCAGCGTGATGTATCCTTTCCCGGCCCTGGTCCCATCCCACCCCTTGGTTCTCTGTCTAGAACGCAGGATTTGGGAGGAGGAAGAAAGCACCCCCTCCCATGGGGCAGAAGGGGGTCCCGGGCATGTGGGAGGGGTACCCTGTGGGCGGGGGTGGCCCCTGGTTCTGACGGGGTCATTGATCACAGAGACGTGCGGCCCCCCCAGGCACATAGCTGCGGTGCGGGAGCCAGCACGGCAGAGGGGGAGGGCTGGCGTCGTGCTGCGTGTCTGGGTCTCGCTGCGTGCGTTTGCGTGCGTGCGTGCGTGCGTGCGTGCGTGCGTGCCTGTGTGCCTGTGTGCCTGTGTGCCCGTGTGCCTGTGTTTACTGCGAGGAGGCATGCAGCCCTATGGAAGCTGGGTCGGGAGCAGAGAGGCTGCATCCGCGGACGCCGCCACGACAGCTCCGGGCGCTGACAGGGCCTGGGAGGGGGTGGCCTCGGGGTGGGGGCCAGATGGCACGGCTGAGGCCGACGGCGTCCCTCTCTGCCCGCCCCCTCGGGCCGCCCCACAGGCTCTGGGGAACAAGCAGCTGGCCTTCCAGCAGCAGCTCCTGCAGATGCAACAATTGCAACAGCAGCACCTGCTCAGCCTGCAGCGGCAGGGCCTGGTCAGCCTGCAGCCCAGCCAGGCCTCGGGGCCCCTGCAGACCCTCCCACAAGGTGAGCTCCGCCCCACTGTGTAGTGCGGTGTGTGTGGTGTGTCCCCCCTCCCCCGCATGCACACCAAGGCCAGGAGGCCAGAAAGAAGCCCCCACACCCTCAGCCCGGCCCAGCCAGCCTCCCCTGTCCCCGCAGCGGCTGTGTGCCCCACGGACCTGCCCCAGCTATGGAAGGGCGAGGGTGCCCCCGGGCAGCCCGCCGAGGACAGTGTCAAGCAGGAGGGGCTGGACCTCACCGGCACGGCCGCCACTGCTACCTCGTTCGCTGCCCCCCCGAAGGTCTCGCCCCCGCTCTCCCACCACCCCCTGCCCAACGGACAGCCCGCTGTGCACACATCTCGCAGAGACAGGTACAGCGGGTGCGGGCAGGTGGTGGGGTTGGGAGCACCAGCTGCAGGGCAAACCTGGGTGCCGGGGTGGCACTGTGGCAGAGAGGGGGCTCTGGGCCACTGCGGTCCTTGGGGTCTCTGACCAGTTCCTGCCCTCCCAGCTCCTCCCATGAGGAGACCCCCGGCTCCCACCCCCTGTACGGACACGGAGAGTGCAAGTGGCCGGGCTGCGAAGCCCTGTGCGAAGACTTGGGCCAGTTCATCAAGTAGGTGCCACGCCCACCCCTGTCCCATCCAGTCTGTGCCTTTGGTCAGCAGCGGGCCTGTGTCCTCGCTCCAGAGAGCCCGAGTTGCACCTCTGTCCCTCAGCTCCCCATCAGCGCCCCCCGCCCCGCACATTCCCGTGCTTGCACCTCCCGCCCCCTTGCAGCACAGGGTGGGTGTGAGATGTAGCGCCCCCCCGAAGCCTGGAGTGTGACAGCCTGAGCCGGCGGACAAGCTGGACAGGAGGTGGCCGGGTGGCTGGCAGCAGGCGGCCAGCTGCCACCACCGTGCCAGGCTCTGTCACTGACTGATTAACTCTGCTGTCTCCCAGACCCGTGCAGCATCAGGGGTCAAACAAATTGTTTTCACGCTTCGTCAGAGGTTGACTTAATTAGTTCATTTGCAATTAGGTCTCTCCGTAGAAGGGGTTTTAGCAAAGACATCAGAGGAGGCGGCCCAGAGAAGGCGCCTTCTTCCCCTGCCCCCTTTCGGCCCTTTCTCTCCTTTGTATCTCTGGTCTGTCTGGTTCCCAGGCACCTCAACACGGAGCATGCCCTGGACGACCGCAGCACGGCGCAGTGCCGGGTGCAGATGCAGGTGGTCCAGCAGCTGGAGATCCAGGTGCTGCCACAGGAGGGGCCGGGGGGGGGGCGCAGACAGGCTGTCCCGTGGGAGGGTCCTGAGGACCCCAAGATAGGTGAGGAAGGCTGGGGAGCTGAGGGGTACACCCGTGTTGGGCATCTCTGCTGCCACCTGCAGAAGAGACTCACACTACTTAGCAAAAATAAGCCAGACCGGGGGGGGGGGGGGCACAGGCCTGTCACCCCAGCCCTCTGGAAGGCTGAGGCAGGAGTATCAAAAGTTACAAAAAGGACCTGGGATTTAGCTCAGTGGTGCCGCCGCCTGCCTCGCAAATACAAGGTCCTGAGTTCGATCCCGGATACCAAAAAAAAAACCTGACAGATATATTGGCTTTTCCTCGAAAGAGCCTACCTTGCCAGCCAAGCACAGCACAACTGAGCTAAATCCCCAGCCTTGACTTTTAACTCTTTTACTCGGCCCAAGCTCACTCTTCAGAGCCAATTTCTCCCCCACTCTTCGCTTTTCCTTTCTCAAATAAACGTGGTCACTGCTAAAAAAAAAGAAAAGAAAGTTGCAGACCAGCCTGGGCAATTTAGCAAGACCCTGTCTCAAAATAAAAAATAAAGTTCTGGGGGTAGAGCTCAGTGCAAGGGCCCTGGGTTCAATCCCCAGTACTGCAAAAACAAAACAAAACAAATGATCAGGTGGCACTTTGAGTGCCTACCTTTACCTAAATAGCTTGAGGAGCCCTCTCCATGTCTCTGCATGCCAGGTGCTGTTGTCCTTCCTGTTTTGCACAGGAGGCACACCAGCCCCGGTGACCTGCTGGCCGCCATTGAGCTGCCAGTGCAGAGCTGGGGTTAAAACCTCGTCAGAGCTTTGGAGGCAACTCCGGGCGAGTCCATCCATCAGCCAGTCGATATTTGCCCATTTCCCTCGGGCTCCTAGCAGCACGCTCTGCACTCGAGGGTGGTCAGGAAAGATCCCTGGAGTTGGAGAGTGGGCACCTGCTTCATCACCCTCACCAGTGTCCCCAGTGCAGTCACAACCCCCGCCTCCCTGGGGACGAAGACCCTGTGTGTAGGGGCAGTCGGTGGTGAGGACACAGAGATGTAGAGGGGCTGGGGGCCTGTGGAGGGGGACAGAGCCCCTGCCCTGCTCACCCCACCCACCCCTGCAGCTGGCCAAGGAGAGCGAGCGGCTGCAGGCCATGATGGCCCACCTGCACATGCGGCCCTCGGAGCCCAAGCCCTTCAGCCAGCCTGTGAGTCACACCCAGCCCTGCCGCCCCTCCCCACCACAGGGCCCTCGGGACCCCGGCCCACACCTCCAGGCTCACAGCAGAACCCGGGCCCTGGCCCCTGCTCCTTCCCCAAGGTGACCGTCTCTGCAGACCCTTTTCCCGATGGCCTTGTGCACCCCCCGACCTCCGCTGCCGCTCCTGTCACCCCCCTGCGGCCCCCCGGCCTGGGCTCCGCTGCACTGCATGGGGGGGGCCCCACCCGACGGAGAAGCAGTGACAAGTTCTGCTCCCCCATCTCCTCAGGTGAGGCGGGGGCAGGGGCCACCACAGAGGCCTTGCCCAGGTCACGCCCACAGGCGCCTCACCTTCCCCCTGTCCTCCCAGAACTGGCCCAAAACCATGAGTTCTACAAGAACGCGGACGTCCGGCCCCCTTTCACCTATGCCTCCCTCATCCGCCAGGTGAGCTGGGCTGGGGCACAGGCTGCTCAGGGTCCTCACGGAGGGGGACGTCCCTCACCTCTGCCTGCTTAGTGCCCCCCCCCCCCGCCGCTGTGGCCTGGTGGGGCTGCTGCTCACAGGGCTCACACTCGCTATTCTGCTCACACCCATGTGCCCTTCCCTGCACACATGCCTGCGATGGACCGCTGAGCACTCTGATTTCTTCTCTTTGTGTCCCCACCCCTGTCACCTCCCTGGTGCCCATAATCCTCCCGTCCTGATGTTGTTGGGGATCCCCAGATCCACCCACCCCTTACCCCCAGCCCACCAGTCGCTGTGGGGGCCTGCAGTCTCCTCTGGGTGTGGGTGAGGTAGGGCCCAGCGGGAGAGCAAGTCCACGGGCAGGGACTTGGAGGTCCAGCCTGAGGGTCCCCTCGGCCCATCCTCGCCCCAGGCCATCCTGGAAACCCCTGACCGGCAGCTGACCCTGAATGAGATCTACAACTGGTTCACCAGGATGTTCGCCTACTTCCGCAGGAACACTGCCACCTGGAAGGTGAGCTGTGTGTGCCCAGGGCCCCGCACACCCTGGGCATCCACATCCTTTCAGACCAGGGCTGCCTGACAGTCAGGTGGTCCCCATTGGCTAGTCCTGTCCAGATGGCCCACCAGGGCCCAGCTCCCAGAGTGCTGGGGTGACGCCTGTAATCCCAGAACTTGGGAGGCTGAGGCAGGAGGATCATCATGAGCTCAAAGCCAGCCTGAACTACATAGTGAGACCCTGCCTCAAAAAAAAACCTTTTGCCGTAACTGCCCTTTAATCACCCCTTCCTTCCAGCCTTGTGCACCCTCTTTTCTGGGGTGCTCTCCCATGGGCCCCAAAGGCTCCAGCTCCACAAGGCAGGGCCTCAGGGTCAGCTAGGCCCTTGTACACTTGGTAGGGAGGCCTGGACTAAAGGCCCGGGAGGAGACACATGGGCTTGGACACACGAGTGCCCCCCCCCCCGGCCACGGCCCACGTGCTGGGGTACAAGGCACTTGCAGTCTCCCCAGGGACGAGGAGGTAATTGTCTCATCCAATTAGTCATTTCACAGAGTTTTCCTAGGGGACCAAAGGAAGGAGAGAGGGGGACCCTAGAAAAATAGGACATGGAGATGTGGGCCAGGACACTAAGCTGTATATTTTTCCATAGTCAAGTTAGAGAGACAGAGAGAGTGTGTGTGTGTGTGTGCATGTGTGTGCATGTGCATGCGCACTCTTATGGGGTGGGAAGGTGGCCTCTAAATCGTGCCGGGCCCTGTGGGAGGAGGAAGGAGGCTGGTCCTGTGGGGAAGGTAGATCCCTGGGTTTTGAGTCCCCCTGCTGACCAGTGCAGGAGTTGCAGTTAAACGGGCCCCTCCCCTAGTGCCACCTGGTTTCAACAAGTGTCCGGGAGGCCCGCCTCCCTGCACTGCTAGGGACTTCCGGGACCGGCCTTGTCCGCCCTGGGTATACGCTGGGTGCCCAGAAGGGACTGCCCATGACCTCCACGCCTCTGAGCCTAACTCCCAGCACTTGGAGACAGACTGTGAGGCTGGGGCAGCTGCTGTGATTGGCTGTGTATGATGTCATTTCCTGCCAACCACAACCCTGCCCTCTTTCTGAGCCAGCATGGCCTTCCTGGCGCCACCTGCACCAGCCTGCAGACTCTAGGGTGGGCCAGATACCAGGTGTTGGAAACAGTCGAATACCGATGTAGGAGATGATTGTGATCTCTGCCTACTCTTCGCTGTAATGCTGCACATTCATCCCTGGCCCCAGGGCTCGCAGTGGGGAGCGTCCCCTTGGGGACCAAGTTCCTGCCCACCTGCCCTCCTTTCCTCCTCTCCCCCCTGCACCGCCGGACCGCAGCGTCCTACTTCTGTCTTCTCGTGATAAGAAGCCACTGGTGCCTTCATCTTCCTCTGCCTCCCCTAAACTGTCGGCTTCCTTCACCCTTTTCTGGGCCCCACCCTGAGATGCTGTTTCCTTCCGACCAAGGGTCGGTGTGGGCCAGGCCAGCTGCTGTTCAGTGGGGGCAGAGTGGCCATCTGCCAAGCTGCCAGTCCTCACTGGCCTCCCCACGTCCGTCCCCTCCTAGGGCCTGTCCTTTGTTTACGCAGCCCCCGCCAGACCCCTCAAATTGCCGGTAATGTTTCAGCGTAACGAATTAGTCTCTCATCACGAATCAGGCTTCGAAATGAGGGAGAAAAGCCCCAGTGAGGCCATCCTCGGAAATTGGGGTCATTCTCATTTGCAAAGCAGAGGATCGGAGCCCCGTAATGCGGGCAAATTTATTCCAAAGCAGGAGCCCCGGCGTGATTAGGCCCTTTGTAATTATCGCTCCAAGAGATTCCACTCCAGCCGCCCGCCTCCCTCGTGGATTAGCGGGCGAGTCGGAAAAATACACAGGATTTAATTAGAGGCAAATTAAAATTGGTAATGAAATCGGGCCATTTGCAAGTGGTAAGGGTTGGAAGGCAGAGAGGGAGAGGGGTCTCTGGGGGCACAGGCTGCCCGCCCTGCCCGCTTTCCTCCCCATTTAGAAATATAAAGAGACAAGGATCGGGGAGGCCAAGGGAGGACAGGTAACAGGGACAGGGACACAGGCAGGTGGGGATGACACCCGGCAGCTGGCAGTGGGGGACAGGAAATCTGAGAGCAGAGTTCAGGGCAGGACAGGGATGAGAAGGGATCTGGGTGGGTCAGGGCCATCACCCAAGGGTCCTGCAGACCAGGTGACCTCAGCTCCTGAAGTTACCGTGCTGGGTGGGGGAGGCGTGACAAGGTGACTTAGCCTCCTTCCTGCCTGCCTATGGCTGCATGGTCACATCTCCTTCCGGTTTATTTCCATGAGTGTGTATTAGGCCCTTGCTGTATGCCTCCTGCCCTCAGAGAGGAAGGCGTCTGTCCAGGCCCAGGCTCCTAGGGGCTGGGAAGGTAACAGTGAGGGTACTTGATTTGTCCCCAGCTTAGTGGCCACTCTGCGTGTGCCCGAGATAAGGTGCCAGGGCCCAGATCCAACCTCCTGCTGCTCAGAAGCCCAGGGAGCAGCTCCCTGTATCTTTGACCAGAGCCAGCAGGAAGTGTGTGATTCCCACCTGGGGCCACCATCACATGGGGAACCAGCGGGGAGGGGGCCCTGCTTCCCTGCCGAGCTGGCCTGGGGACATGGAACAGCATGAGGGTGCTGCCGTACCTATTCCTTAGCACCTGTCCCCCGCATCCCCAGAATGCTGTGCGCCACAATCTCAGCCTGCACAAGTGCTTCGTGCGCGTGGAGAACGTGAAGGGAGCGGTGTGGACAGTGGACGAGAGGGAGTATCAGAAGCGCAGGCCGCCAAAGATGACGGGGTACGTGGTGTGTGGCCAGGGATGTGCCATCCCGGGCCCTGTGCTCCCCTGGCTCCTGATAGGCGGATCAGGCCTCTGAGGCCCTTGGGCCCCCCTTCCTTTCCAGGGGAGTGGGACAGGCCAGGGGCCAGGGAATGGAGGAGAAGCTCCAGGCTCTACGTCAGGTGTTGTCACACCTCATGCCAACCGAGTGCAAATTGCACCTCTGCTTCCCCCAGCCCTGTGATCTCGGGCCTGGTCCTTGTCCTCTGAGAGGCTCTTGTCAAGGGGACCATCTCTGAGGTGGACAGCCCTGGGCCGTGGCTTTTCCCCAGCACCTTTGGGTACAGAAAAAGCCCTTTGTCTGGGACACCTGGGGACATGGCTAATCACGTGTCCCCGAGTTCAGGATGGCAAGAAAGTGTGGGTCTTGCAGATGTGGAACTATCAAGGCTAGAGCTCGGGTTTTGCTGAATGACAGAAAGTCCAGACCAGCGAGGGAAGAGGCTGGGGTGGCCTGATGTGCAGATGGACGTGGGGAGGGGACCTGCTGCCACCTCCCAGCTTTAAGACCAGACTGGTCCCCAAGCCCCAGCCCTGGCCACCTGCTGGGCAGGTCCTTCGGGGATTGAATACGCCCTGGGCACACAGGTGGCCGGTCCCGCCTGGGCCTCCAGGAGAGGAAAGGGGACAGGCCCTGGCTCTGCATGGGCCCCTGGTCGAGGTCAGGAGGAAATGGGTTGGAGAACTGACCCCTGCTTCTGTCCCCAGGAGCCCCACCCTGGTGAAGAACATGATCTCGGGCCTCAGCTACGGAGCACTTAATGCCAGCTACCAGGTGACCGGCCACCCAAGCCCCAACCCAGGCCTGCCCACCTCAGGCAGGGCTCTACCTGGATTTCACAGCCAGCTTGGGGAATGGGCAGAGAACAAGGGAGCTGGCATAACCTACAGCATCCAGCATCCCCTGGGTTCCCCTGGGGGCAGGGGCAGCCAAGCCTGGGTTCCCAGAGAAGGTGGGAGGTTGGAAGTTGGGCAGAGCCCAGCCCCGGGGTGTTGCATTCCCAAGGCCGAGCCTGGGCCTGAAGCTGCCGAGAGGGACTGGCCAGGGCTCAGGAGGCCCCCTCTGACCAGCTGTAACCCCTGTGCTGCAGGCCGCGCTGGCCGAGAGCAGCTTCCCCCTCCTCAATAGCCCCGGCATGCTGAACCCCGGCTCCGCAAGCAGCCTTCTGTCCCTCAGCCACGAGGACATGGGCACCCCCGGGGAACCGCTGCCCAGTAATGGCAGCAGCAGCCCCCCTCGGCTCTCCCCGCCCCAGTACAGGTGAGCACGGGCCCCCACAGCCCACCGCATATTCCCCAGACTGCGGCCCCTGTCCTTGGCACCCCCACCTCCTCTTCTCTTTGTAATATTGGGGATTGAACCCAGGGCCTTGGCAGGGAGCTGCATCCCTAGCTGTTTTTAAATTTATCTTGACAAGAGTCTTGCTAAGTTGCCCGGGCTGGGCTCAAGCTTGCCATCCTGCTGCCTCAGCCGCCTAGGCATGCACCGCCAGGCCTGGCTTCCACCATTGTTCTTCCTCCTCCTCTCCTTCCAGCTCTCCCTCCTCTCCCCTCCTCTCTCCATCCTTTTCAGCCCTCGTCCCCCCTCTGTCCACTCTGTCCCAGAATCATCTTCTGTGCAGAAGGTCTTGGGGGAGGTGGGGTCCTGGGGAGGGCGCTGTGGGCACCCCACTGTGCAAAGTCTGGGGCAGGGGCTTCAGGAGGCCCCCGGTGCCCACCTTGTCCCTTCTGCTGCAGCCACCAGGTGCAGGTGAAGGAGGAGCCCGCAGAGGCGGAAGAAGACCGGCGGCCGGGACCCCCTCTAGGCCACCCCAACCCCAGCTCTTTGGGGCCTCCGCCTCCGGAGGACAGGGAGCTGGAGGAGGAGCTGCCTGGGGAGGAGCTGTCCTAAGGGCCCTGGGGCAGAGGCGGGGTGAGACCCTGGGCCCAGAACCAGGCCTGCCCACCCCCACTCCACAGCCCTGAACCTCAAGGCACTTCCGGACTCTGACTGGATGGGGGCGGCCTGGGCCAGCAGCTCCCCTGAGGCGGCGGACTGACACACGCTTCGGGGCAGGAACCGGACCCCTGGTCTGGGACCAGCAGAAGACAAGGAGGGCCCAGACCCCTCCCAGACCCCCTTCATCCGAACGCGTCTCCCCGACCACCAGCAGCAGGCCCCCACCGCTGTCCCCCCGGAAAGGGCCCTGTCTTCCGCAGAAGACCCACAGGCGGGGCACCCACCTCCCAGGGCCTCCCGATTTGTACATCCCCCTCTTTCTGTACTGTGAAGCAAGCGCTGTCCGCCCCTGGCTCCTCACCCTGCCCTGCCCTGCCTTCCCCTGCCTGGCAGGAATGGAGCGGGGCTGGCCGGCTGTCAGGTTGTCACCACCTCCGCTGTCATGGGTGGGACACAGCATTTTGTGCCCTGTGGGGTTCCCCGCAAGCAGGACCCAGGCTGAACTGAACGGGGCCTCCTGTGTCCGCCACAGTGGGGAGCACAGGAAGAGGCCGGTGCCCGCCCCTCACGGATGTCCACAGGTGCGGCCGCGCCCCCTGCCGGAAGAAGGGCAAGGCGAGGCTGGAACCCAGCCTCCCCACACCCCCTGGCCACCGAAGTCCTCTGACCCTCCCTGTACCCCTTCCCCAAGTTCCCAGTTACACGGATGACCAAAGACCTTTCTTATGCCGGAAGCAAAAACCAAAACTTTCTGTTGGCTTTTTCCTTTGTCGCCTCCTGAACTCCCAGCTGTCCCAGGCCCCAGGCTGGAAGCCCCCCTCCACTTAAGTTATTGTTTTAAACCAAAGTTTACAGTGTCTGTTGGTGGCAAGACCCTCTCCCTCTACCCCTTCTCTGCCCGAGGACCCTGGGACTGGCCCTGCCTGGGGACAAGGAGGCAGGCACACAGGAGACACAGTCCCCAGGCCCGGGCTGCCCTGGGGGCTCCCTGACCTCTCTCTAGGACCAAGTCCCTGGCACGCTGGGAGTGTGGATCCCTGGATTCCAGCACTGGAGCTGGAAAAGTGAGACTCTGAAGACCCCCTATGGGGGACCCCAACCCGAGGCCAAGGAGGGGGTGCGAATGCTCAGAGCACCCCACCAGGCCCCATTGCTGAGAAGACCCCTTGGATATCTCCTGAGACCCCCACGTATGCCCCTTCACAAGCTGCCCCCCAGAGGCGGGGCCCCCGTGTACCCTCACCTGTGTCCGTCTGACCAGCACAGAAATATTAAACGTCCTCTACTCACCGGGCCCCGTGTGTGTCACCCGGGGGAGGGTGGCTGTGGGCAGGGGCTCAGCGGGACCCTGGCTCCTGCGTGGTGGCTCTCAGGTTGCAGGGTCAGGTGTGTCAGGCCCTCTGCTCCCGTCCCCTCCTACTTTCCCTTGCCCTGTTGCCTCCCAGTTTGTAATCCAGGTGCCCCCCCCCCTCCAGCACTCCCAGCAGTGAGGCAGGTGGCTGCAGGACTTGGTCACTTGTCTGGGGACCCCAGCAGGCAACTGCACACGTGTGACCCTGGCCATCACAGTAGGGTCAGTATGGGGACACATGCACATCTGGAGAGCACCCGTGTGTGCAGTGACCGCCATGCCAGTAGCTTGGTGTTGTGTAAAGGACTATTCACACCCATGCGGGGGACCCCAACAGTCAGTGGGGAAAGAGGGAGGCCAAGCTGCTAGGCAGAGGCAGGGCCTGACCCCTCCCCAGTGCCCCCACATCAGACCCCTGTCCTGCCCCACTGGCCCAGCCTCCAGGACCCTTGTTCCTGAGCCAAGGTCACCTTCCAGACAACCCCTCCCCAGGGCTGCAGGGCCCAGGCAGGGGTGGGAAAGGGGGGGGGCTGGAACCACCCACCCTGCTCTGGCTTCTCAGGCAGCCAGAACTTCCGGGGCTGGGGCTGGACAAGGAGGCTGCCTGGCTTCTCTCTGCTCTTGCCTGGCCTGTCCTTCCTGCTGCCATGACTGCTCCTGTCTCCCCCACTCCCAGTGCCCACCTTAGATGGGCGGAGGTGCTCACTTCAGAGTCTCAGTGCCCAGATGCCATGAGGAAGGAATGCATGTTGCTATCCTGCCCTCCTACAGCAATTCCAGCCGCCACTCTCCCACTTCTCTCTCCCTCCCAGCCAGAAATTGAGGGGTGGCTGCCAGGTGCCAGCTCCTTGCTCCACCCCTGGAAGAGAAGGGTCTGCTCTTGGGCCGGCCCCGGGGATGCCCCTGGTCTGCTCAAGACAGCACGTAGGTCCTTCCCGAGGTCTTGCTGCAGCATCTCCTGTCTCCATGGCCCATGGCGAGGTCCATGCAGTTTACTGGGAGGTGAAGTGAAGATATACCTCGGGCCATGGCCAGGGAGAAGGCCTCACGGAAAAAGAAACAGGCTGCGGCAGCCCACCACCACCTGGACGCAGACGCTTTCATTTATTTTGGTCTTCTGAGACTAGTTCAGGCTGGCCTCGAACTCGAGGTGAGCCTCCTGCCTCAGCCTCCCGCCTCAGCCTCCCGAGTGCTGGGATTGCAGGTGTGCGCCACCCCGCCCAGCTGTACAGTGAGCTTTTAGGCTCGCCCCCCACCTCATCATTTAGTGTTCCTGCCCCGGTGGTGAAGCTATCTTTGGAATGTGTTCTTAGACTAGCAGAAAGAGAAATGGTGTGGTGGCACACAAGTAATCCCAGCACTCTGAGAGGCTGAGGCAGGAGGATTGCAAGTTCAAGCCAAGCCCGGGCAATTTAGCAATGTAACAAGGCCCTGCCTCCCATTTTTAAAAAATAAAAAGGCTGGAGGTGTGAAGACCCTGGGTCCTGCAGGGCCGAAGCTCCCTCCCTTCACACTCCCTGCCACCCCGCCATGAGGCTTTTTGCCGAAAGAGGGCGCTTGGACCAAGCGGACCGCTGCTCCTGGGTCCCGCCCCCTGGAAGACACACACACACACACACACTCTCACGCACTCACGCACGCACGCACGCGCGCTCCACAGCCCCAGGCCCAGCCCAAGCCAGAGCAGGGTCTGGTGTGAGGCTGGTTGGGGCTGCCCAGGCCCTTCCAACCCGGGATCTGCGAGATGGTTTTTTGTCTTTTGTTGAACCCAGGGGTGCTCTACCGCTGAGCCCTAGCCCCTTTGTATTTTTTGAGACAACTTCTCACTAAGTGGCCCAGACTGGTCTGGAACTTTTGATCCTCCTGTCTCAGCTAGAAAAGATCTTAAGTAGAAACAGGAGAAGCCAAGAGGGAGGGAGAAGAGCGAGCAGGAAGGAGCTCCCTGGAGCCTGGCACACAGCAGCCACAAGGGGTTCAGCTTTGTTATTTCCTCCCTCCCTCCCTCCTTTGCTTCCATCCCTGGTTATTAAACCCAGGGCCTCCACACTGAACTACATCCTCCACCTTTTTTTTTTTGGTACCGGGGATCAAACTCTGGACCTTGCACGGCGGAACCACTGAGCTACATCCCCAGCCCCATCCTCAACCATTTTTGATTTTTTTTTCAAGGTCTCTCTAAATCAGTGGGCTTGGACTCTTGATCCGCATCCCTCAGCCTCCCCGAGTGCTGGGATGCCAGGCCCATACCACCACTCCTCGCTTCACCTATTTGTAACAGTAATAATAATCATTAGCGTTGAAGGGGCTCTTATGACCATTCTTCAAGAAGCTTTGCCTTTCACTTACTCCTCACACAAGTCCTACTTGGCCTCTGCCAATGCCCTGTTTCACAGATAAGGAAGCTGAGGCTGGCAGCAGAGAGTGGGAGGCGGGCACTCTGTAATCCCAACTTCCTGGTAACGCTGCTCATTCTGACATCTTCGCCTCCTCAGGCAGCTCCGGAGAGGAAACAGGTACAGAAGGCCTCTGAGCTGAGACTTAGGCGCTGGCATCAGCCGTGTCTTCTGGGTGGGGTGAGGAGGACTGGGGCTTGGGACAGTTGCAGGAGGACAGTGAACTTGAGAAAAGCCCGGAACACCTAGCCGGGCCTGGTGGCACAAGCCTGTAATCCCAGCACTAGGGAGGGTGAGGCAGGAGGATTGCTGTGAGTTCAAGGTCAGCCTGGACTACATAGAGGGACCTTGTCTCAAAAAAAGAGAAAAGCCTGGAACACCCTACAAAAATAATCATGTGGGGCTGCCCAGGGGCAGGGACCTCGGGGGGTGCTGGAGACAAAGAGGCCCTTGTCTATGGGCTTCCTGAGGCCCCCACACTCACATACCCGCTGCTCTCTCACGCCAGGAGGCCCCTTCCGGCTTTATTGCCTTGTGGGGATCAGCACATAGCCACCCTGGCCGAGGTCACGGTGACCACCAGGCTCTGGGCCCCGACCAGCCTGTGGTCTTCATCCATCTCGGGATCAAAAGCTTAGACAAACAGCCGCATCCTACTCGATGGTCCTCGTGGCATCCAGGGCTGAAGGCCACCTGTCACAGCCAGGGAGGCTGGGCAGGGGGCCTGGAATTCACAGCGAGGAGCTTCAGGAGCAGAAGGGGCCATGGTCACTGGGGACATGGGACGGGGCTCTGCAGGCAGAGAGCAGGGAGGTGAGCGAGTCTGGGCCCCCAGCTCCCAACCTGGCTCTGCCTCGGGGAGGACCCCATGGGTTTAGATGCCAGTTCCTATAGAGACGGAAGGTGCAAGTGACCCACTGGGGACCCAAGTGACCAGGAGACTCCAGAGAAAAGCCCCGGAGTAAGCCAAGGTGCGTGCCAGGAATCCCAGCACTTGGGGAGGCTGAGCTAGGAGATCACAAATTCAACCCCAGCCTGGGTAGCGACTTAGGGAGATCCTGTCAAAAAATAATTTATTAGAAAGGGCTGGGGATAGCTCCAAGAAGTGGCACATACCTGCAACCCCAGCACTCGAGACGCTGAGGCAGGAGGATGGCTGTGAGTTCAAGTTCGAGGCCAGCCTGAACTATATGGTGAGACCCTGTCTCAAAAAACAAAACAAACAAAAGAGCTGAGGATTTGACTCAGAGTGAAGACCCTAGGTTTAATCCCCAATGCCACAAAAAACCGGCTGAACAGATTCGGGGGAGGTGGCAGGGGGGAGGTCTGTGAGCTGTCAGGATGTGGTGTCACAGCCTCTACAACACGATTTCCATCCTGGTCTGCAACGAACATCTCCATCCTAGGCTGAGTGGGAGCAATGGTAAGGGTCTCTGACTGCCCCCAAGGACCAGGGGGAGTGAGGAAGCCTGCCCACAGACTCACACCCAGGAGGGAGGCTGAGGCAGGAGGATCTGTTAGTGAACAAAGTGGCCCAGGTCACTGAGGAGCCAGCACCCAGAGGGGCTGGCAGGGGCTTCCCCTGGGGGCGGCTGAACAAGGAGGCGCAATGTTAGACAGGGCCCGCAGGAGTGGGGGCCAGCAAGCAGCAGAGGCCTGGACGCTGCTGGGCCCACAGCTGGTGGTGGGGCAGGGGTGTGGCCGAGAAGGGAGACAGATACGGCACCAGGGGACAGTGTGGGCCCCAGGCCAGCAGGGACAGAGCACAGATGCTGGAGACTCAGGGCCTGGGACTGGGCGGCTAGAAGATTCAGGCCCCTGGGGGCAGAACAACTTCGGGAGATCAAGGCTGAGGACAGTGGACCGGGAGCAGCAGGCGCAGGCCTCGCGCTCTGTCCCTGAGAGTTTAGTAGCCAAGGGCAGAGCGGGAGGGGCAGCAGCAGGGGAATGTCCGGAACAGGGTTTAGTATCAGGCTCCCAGCTGGGGTGACTCCGGATTTCCAAGGAGAGTGGGAAGGTAGAGAACACATGAACGGCCCTCCCTCCCGCTCTGAGCAGAGCGGTGCTGCTCACACGTTCCCTGACCTTGACCCAGGGGGACAGCGGAGCCCCTGGGTGTGGGCTGCCAGGGAATTAGGAGGAGGGGTGGTGAAGACCTGGGCGGGGGGACCTGGTGCTCGTGTGGGTGGCGGGAGGGAAGGCAGCCATCAGCTCCTGAATTCACCAGGGGCTCCCGCCGGAACCCCGGCCGCCACCACCCCACCACCTGCCATTGCCTGCCTTCACCCACGCTAGGCAAGTGCTCTACAACTGAGCTATAGCCACAGACCTTTCAAATGCAATGTTTTAAGGCCAGTCGTGGTGGTGCACACCAGTAACCCCAGCACTGGGGAGGCTGAGGCAGGAGGATCGTAGCAGAGTTCAAGGCCAGCCTATGCTGGACTACAAAACGAGACCTTTCTCAAAAAAAACTAACAGACACAGAAGTTTCTTTTTGGTTATACTTTCACTTCAGTCCCTTTTTTTCTTTCCTGCCTTTGCAGGC